CTCTCATCCTTTTCTATTTATAGGTTTTTTTCTTTTGCTCTCTTTTTTCTGTTCTGACTTATTTTCTGTTCTGCCTGCCTTCTTTTCCCCCCCCTTTCCTCCCACACTGCATTTTTACTACAAGGAAAACTCAATCAGTTATTTGAATATGGTAACAGAGCCAAAAGCTAAAACATGTTGTCATCTCAAAGGAAAATTGTTCAAAGGAAATTTTAATGAGGTCTTAAGATATTAGTTCATTCAAGTATAAAAAGTATGTGATGTTTTTCCTACAGTTTATTAGGTGAACTGAAAATAGATAAATGAGACAATCGTTGACAGCATAGAGCCATAAGAAGAATGTGGATAGCGTATTTCAGATAATCTTTGATATTTAAGAAATGTTTGAGCTCATATTGACATCTTTTGACTGGTATTAAATATGAGCACATTTTGAGATGTAGTTGATGAGACTCTCGGAGACACATGTTAAGATTTACCTAAGCAAGTTTACATTTCAACAACTAAGATATGTAATAGATTTGTGTGTGTGTGCTGTGAGCAATCTGTAAAGTGTGTGTGCCTGTGTGTGTATGTGTTAATAGGAGCTCTTGTTTGTTAGTCAGTCTGGTATGTGGTGTGTGGGTCTGAAGTGTGACGTGTCTCTGAAGTAAACAAACAGCCGTATTGTCAGAACGCGTCTCGTTGCCTCCTTTCCTCCTTGCTGTCATCTTTCCTCACCATTCCTCATTCTTTTCTTCATTTATTTGTCTTTTCTCTTATTTCTCTGCCTCACCGTAGCGTCTTATTTGACTTGGAGTGATAAGAATCTGGATTTCTTTAGTTTAGCTGCTGAAAGTTGACTTTTATCATGGCGAGTAAAGAAAACTGATACTTTGTTAGTGTTGGTGTGTGTGTTCGTCACACTCATGCATACCAAAAATCTGAACTGCGACACAGATCATGGAGAGATTGAGCCAGGTAAGATCTGATTACATCATTCATCTCTCTCTTTAAACAGTAGCTCTATGACATCATTACATTTCATTATGATGTCAGTTCTTAGTTTTAGTAACTAAAACATCAAATCACTGCATGTTCAACTGGAAACAAAAGTGTTTACATGCAAAATATCATTATATGTTATTTAACATGTTGTTTGCCTATATAATGTAACTTTTATGTAAATAATGTTCTTTTTAGCAACATCATATGACCCCTTTAACTCAACGTTTAAAAATTAAGCATGTAAAACTTGACAAGAAAACTTGGATAAATACTTTAATTATGTTAGAGGTTATGTATTGCTAATAATAATTTTATTTATTTATGTATTTATTAATAATAATAACAACAGCATCAGTAACTGATGATGATGATGATGATGATGATTATATACATTTAAATGTACACGCAAATAATTATTCTACATGAATATTTAATAACATTAATTTTCAATATGTTAATGTATCTTAATGTTTAATGTGTGTCAAAGCAGATATTTAAAGCAGTAATTAAAGTTCTATAAATTTGTTATTGGACACACCATAAAAATAATCAGGATCTGGATCTCTGGTTTATGTTTGCTCCATATAGCTGTTCTTTTATCTCTTTATTAAAATAAGAGCAAAAGACTGGGTCTGTTCAAATATAAGTCATAAAAGATGCAGCCTGTGTTCGGATCTTGTTTGTTCTCACACAATCTTTATTCCTCAACATCTACATTTGAAAGCAACGTGTCACAGTAGAAGAGTAACAGCAGTAACCGCGTGAGATTGATCTGTCAAACATTCAATTTGTTTTTCGACCGTGTGCGCCCTTGGTCTCTGCTCCATCCTGTCTTTCATTAAGGATAAAATAAGGATGAAATGATGTATGAGTCAAGAGGAGAGAACAACAGGGGGGAAATGAGCGTGTCACCAATCAGGCCTGACATTACAGTTACTCACACTCTGATGAGAGAGAGAGAGAGAGAGAGAGCGAAAGAGGAATTTGACTGAGAAAAAGATGGAGGCAGAAAGTATAATGAGTCTCTGAATGCAAATATCTTCAGCACAAACTTGTAGTGTGTTTATTGCACAATAGTTGTTTAATATATAACAACAATATATAATATATAATTTTTTTTTTTACATAAATACGGCTTGTACTGTAACTTCCTATTAGGCATTTGTTTTGTCATGGTTGATAAACAAAAATATTATTGCAATTTAATTAAATAAATTAAATGCAATGTTTGGCCTCCCTCAAACAAATGGCTTTTAATAAACTTCTTTAAATTATTAAAAATAAATAATTAACGTAATTAATAATAATTCATTATTAATTAATTTAATAAATTGTCATGTTAAGAGGCACAATGTGTAATTTAATTACGTGTTTTGTAATGTTTAACCCAGCACCAAAATGCACCATAGACTTTCATGCTTTAAACACTATTATTTTTACTAAATAAATTAAATCTTACTGTTAACAGGTAGTTTACATAAATACCTGTTAATAAATGAAGTTGTTTAATTAATTGTCATGTTAACTGGTGTAGTGTTTAATTTGGTAACTGACTTTTAAAACACAGTGTATTATAACATATAACCTGGAAATATGCCTTGCACCATAGACTTCTATTCTAAATGCATTAAACATGATTTTTCTGTTTTTATAAACCAAGGGACAAGTTGAAATTATATTTAAAAGCATTGCTTTTAGAGCTCTGATTTGTACAGTGCATCTTTTCCATTGTGGGCTGAACTTGACGTACAGAGGCTATGATTTGAATGATGGCTTGCTGTTTGCGGCTTGAAGCCTCCCTTGTACGAGTGTGTGAGTGAGCTGTAATGACAGACGCTACAACAGGGTTGTGTGTGTGTGTGTGTGTGTGTGTGTGTGTGTGTGTGTGTACAGTCATAAAGATTCGGACCATTTAGTGACATCACTCCACTGAAAATACCACTCTGAGGAAGTTCTGGGTATTTTCACACTAAAAAGAGGTGGAGAGATTGAGAGAGGCAGAAGAACATTCTGCAGGAAGTGGGGAAAATTAGAAATAAGTTCCTTAAGTGTTGATAAAAATAGCCAGGAAATGTCAGCCTGACTGACTTCCTTTTAGAGCTGTATGATTCTTTGTTAAATGGTGTCAGACAGTGTCGTGTGTGTGTGTGTGTGTGTGTGT